AACAATGTGTGCAACGCGATACCTAAAACTAAGTTAGTTGATTTTATTTACACACATTACTCATACAAAGATTACATTGTAACTAACTATTGTCGTTATTCTCATTTATTCCAAATTCGTGAAAAGAACAATAAATAAACAAGATTCGCCTTGATTTAGGTGATAAAACAATCAATTAATTTATTTAATTCTAGTCTTTTACTAAAGCGGGAATACTATGTGAAATTAATTAATTAGAGTTTATTTAAAGTGATCAAACAACACTAATTAATCAATTAAAGTTATTTAAACAAGAAAAGAAAAGTGATTTGTCTAGGTGCTCAGGAAACTAACTATTCTTCTTTGTTTGCTAGATCTTTGTGTTGGATGTTTATAGACCTTCCTTCTTCTTCGTACCTCCAAGACTTCAATGGAATAAATTAAGGTTGGAGAGTATATGGGAAGAGAGGAGAAAAATAGTGTGATAGCAAGAGAGATTGAGGTGTTTTAGAATTCTAGGGTTTTATTTTTGATTTTTTCCGTTGTCTTTAATTAGGTTAAAGCGAAGACCCCTATTTATAGGCGTAGGAGTCTAGGTTTAGGGTTTTAGAGCCGCGACGTCAGGTGGAACCCGCAACTCTCAGAGTCGCGTTGAGTGCCGCGCTCAAGGCATATGAGTTCCACGCGCAACTCTACGCCTTGCGCGCGACAGGCACGCGCAACTTTGAGTGTTGCGCGCGGTGCGGTTTGCCTTATATGAAAACGCGTTTTTAAAACATTCATAACTTTTGATTGCAATGTTGGATTAAGGCAAATAAGATATCACTGGAAAGCTCTGAATGTCTAATTTTCAATTCTGTTAGGACTAGGTTAAAATCTTGTATGGATCAAAAGATATGGCCGTTTGAGTGCAAGGATGTCGGTTTTAGGGCCTGGTTTAGTATTTTGATGATAACATCTTTGTTTTAACTCGGAATTGGGCTTATAATATACCGTTGGAAAGCTCTTTGGAAGGGCTATCCATATGTATCATCCATGAATGGATATCATGTGGTTTATTATTCGTCAGGTTTCAACAATGTAAGATCCATTGGATCCAATCATTGCATTTGACGCATTTGGGTCCGTTATTAATTAAGATTAAACATGTATGAACACGTTTTAGGCCTAATTATTAATCGGAATAGGCTCTAAGATAATTTAGTCTCAAATACAAGTTCTAACTTACTTCATATTGCATTTCAGAGTCCATAAACACTTCAACTTTGACCTAGCATGAAGAACGAGTTTTTGTAACATCATTGCACTTCCTGTCGGGACAGAAGGCCAAAAGTAGGTGTCTACAACATGGAGAAAAGTTGAGATTATTAATACTACCTCCATTACATATCTGTTGCAAATTTGGAATTTTTTATATCTCACAAATAATACCCCAAAGTTGCAACTAATATGTAACGGAGGTAGTATCAATTTTTTCTTGTTTAGTATATATCTTTACTTAGTATTTAAAAACACAAACCAAAGTTGCCACATATCCTCCTCCCCCTTTACCTTTGTCTTGAACATTCTCTTTTCTTAGATTTACAAAGAACTTTTTTCGATCCATCTCTCCACTTTATTCCTCAATAACTCTTTATATTCTATAACCTCCACTTATCCAACAAATTGAATGTTATTAATTTTTTCCTGTTCTCCCTCTATCTTTCAATTCAATTTAATCACATTCGTCATTTAATTCATTGAACCTTTATCTTTCCGCTGCAATCTCTAATCTAAATACAAAATTTCCATTAAATTTTTTTTCCCATCACTACCTAAGTTCCAAAAAAAAAAGAGAAATATATATCTCTTTGTAAGGAATTTTTCAAACTCAAATTTGAGCCCCACTATGATCATGTTTTTAAGCATGGTGGCGTCCAAAGGGAAGGAAGCTAGAGATAAAAGAGTCGCCAACAAGTTTTAGAAACTTGTAAACCATTCACAAGTGTGAAGGTTACACCCCATTCACGATCATAGAGATCTGTAACTCCACAGTGGTCCAGAACCATGACTTGATGTTCGGGGATGATGGTACAAATCCAACCTAAAAGAGATTGGACCCGCCCTAAATCGGCCTCTACTTAATTCTTATGATATTCATGTGCGCTTTTCAATCAACATACATACATCAAATTAATCCTAAGCATATTTAATCTACGTTGGGTTGATTATCAATGGACAATCAAATTTATTATTGGTGATTACTTGAATTAAAATCATATTAAGCCTAAATTAAATTATTACTAATCTTATTAGGCGTGATTTCAATTACAAATTCCTTTAAACCTGCAAAAAGGGGCGTGATCGAGCAATAACAATAAATCATGAATAATCAAGCAACATATGATCAATACAACAATCATCATCATAAAATCATCATCAAAACCATTAATAGTAAGATCCTAGACATGATACTAAACGGATTAATAACAATCCTAGCATGTCACTAATAAAAATCATAATCAAAGCATTATCCTAATCATGATGCTATCAACATGATATTAGAAATATTAGTTAACACCCTAAACATTATACTAGGAATTAAAATCAACATCCTTACATGATACTAGGAATCAAAATCAACATCCTAACATGATACTAGGAATTAACATAAGATTCTAAGCATGATTTCTATATCAAAAGAATAACTAAGTAATCGAATTACTTACTTTGATGCTTTGTATTTCTTTCTATAAAAACAATACAGACGTTAGTAAACTTCAAGAAAGATTAAATTAAATAAATCAAATATGAATTGAAATATAGGTTTGGGACCAAACCCTCAGAACTATCAACCTTTCACGTCGAGGTCGAAGGCAACGTCGAGGAGGGCAAGGAGTATTCAAATCTCGTGAATGAGGTATGGTGATTAATTGGAGAGAGTATCAAGGATGTGTGTTTGGGATGTGTTTAGGCTAAGGCTAAGAACATAAAGAATCAAGAGAGAGAGAGAAAATATTAGAGAGGGTATTGATGATGATTGTTGGTGATCTGAAACGATGTAAAACGCCCTCTATTTATAAGGAAAAAAGAGAGTCGAATTGATTAGAAAAGATCAGAATTCAAATCAGAGTAAAACAGGTTTCATTGCGGCGCGATAAGAGTATCGCGGCACGACAGAGTCCATCACAGTGCGATGGAACTATCACGCCGCGTTGGACAGCAATTTTTGCGATTTTTTTTAATCATAACCTTTGATCCGGAAATTGGAATAAGATAAATAATATATTGTTGGAAAGATCTAGAAGTCTACTTTCCAACCCAATTGAAAGTAAATTTATATCTTTTGTATAATTTAAGATATGATTGAAATAGTGGGACAGTGTTAGTTTAGGATTATTAAAAGAGGAGTTTTATTCAACCTCAAACTCTTTGATCTTTATCTTTTCAGAAAGGATAGATTAGAAACTTCTAAAGGACTCTAGAAGTTCCTAAAGAATCCTAATTGGTTTAGGATTGGGAATATGGTATTTAGACCATCACATGATCATTGGGTCGTAGATAAGGTGGACTTAAGTTCAGTTTGGGCTCGGTTTAGTATTTTGGCCATAACTTATTCGTTTTAAGACGGATTTGGGATTATAATATATCGTCAGAAAGCTCTATTCAATATCCATCCAACTAAACAATAATTGGACCAGTATTAAGGTCCAAAATAATCTGATTTTGACGTTTTTATGAGTTGAACACAAAATGAATGATTTTGGGTTTAAAGACACGAAATTAATGATTTTGGTTTAAAACATTTTAGGAAAGGTTAGGAATATGGTCAAGTCTTAAGGGAACTTCACGAGTCTCTTCAACTTTTTACCGAACTCGTTAATCAAAGACGTGAAAGGTACTCATCACTGGGTTTGGTTTTTGGGGAGACACAATCAGGTATCTACACTCTCTAAATTCTATGTAAAATTTTCTATAACGAAGATGATGATTGAAAAGGAAAAAAAATTTAGTCTACAAAAAAAGGAGACTTGAGTATGTCAAGAAAAATAAAGAGTTTTGTGTAAGAATATTATGGAAATTTCATAGTATAACATTGATTGCATGTCATGGGGTCATTTCTTTAAAGGAAAGATGGAGGAGGAGAGTCATTATTTTCAAGATATTAAGCGCACCACTCTAAGAGAAACTCATTTGGTAAAGAGCTTCATATTTGATTTAAAAATATAAAATTATGACATGGTTTGTTAATTAGGTTTTTTTTTTTTTTTTTTTTTTTTTTTTTTAACCAATCATTGATTAACTACCATACAATTAGATAATTTGAATAAACAATTTTTTAAATCAATTTTTCTAATATGTCAAAAGACGATAAAATAAAGTTATTCAAGTAATTTGTAAGTTTTAAGGTCCGTTTGGTTGGGGGTATTCAACAAAGGGAATGGGAATCAACGGGAATCATTCCCTTTATTGTTGTTTGTTAGGCCACTTTTCCATTCCCCTTTACCCCCTTCATTCCCCCAAATCCCTCTAAGTTCATTCCCCACCCCCCCCCCCTAGCCTTTTCCATTCCCTTTCCTTAGCCAGCATTACACCACCATGCTTACACCAGCCATCACCCTTCTACCCTACCCCCACGGCACAACCACCACCCAGCCACCTTACCGCTTTTCCCTCGGCCATCGCTGTGGTGGTGTTGGTGGTGGTGTTGTGGTGGGGTGATTCCCTTTATATTTTTAAAACAAACAACACACTACATGGAATGGATTTTCATTCCATTCTCTTTCATTCCCTTTGGTTATTCCATTCCGATTCCCCTGTGTGAACCAAACGGCCCCTAAGTATAAATGATAACTTATAAACTGCCATGCATAGAACGGGCCCAAAAATTAGTTCAATTTCAAGAGGGCCACCATTTCCGTGAAGCATAATTTGAGAGTCACCAATCTCATCATTGAGAATTAGAAGGTAAATACACACTATTTTAATCTAATATTCTTCTTAAACACTTGTATTTAATAAAGCTTGGTGGATTACGGATCGATTGTATGAAATCTCAAGAATAAGTTAGGCTTGCAATTGAAATAAGTTAGATGAATAGTTTTTTATTCCAAAAGGAAAAGAGCTAAAAAGTAAAAGTTTAAATAAAAAAAAAATCATTGAATGAACTAAAATCATTCAGTTCAAATCGCAAAAACTTGAGATCAGTCTAGCACTCTATTGAATTTCGAGTACCATAACATCATACATGGCGACATTTCAGAATTTTACAATTTCTCTAATTTGTGTAGTCTACCCTACACAATACATGGATACGGATCTTGATGCACCTGTCAAAAATAATACGCCTCTAAGAAACCAAAAGGACCAGAGGGAGTACTCCTTAACTGTTTCTTGCCCTTTCCAAGTTTTCAACGAATAGGTCCTCATCATCATTGTAGTCTGTAGACGCATTCAGAAAAATAAAAAAAAGTGTCTAAAATCGTTAAGTATTTGTGAAAATGTTATTATTCATATTCATTTTGAGAGAAGTTGTTATGATATACAAGTATGTAGTAGTAGAATGCAAGAATAATTTTATTTGAATGAAGGAAAAAATCATTTTATAAACTACTTGAAAATACATAATTAAAAAGGTTAACCAATTGTTTACCTTAGCTTTGAGCACCTTATTATACTAGTTGATCTTCAAGCTGAAGTAATTAGTAGATGTGATGAAATAGCTTGAAAGTTGCAACTTATGTATAGCACCCATTCAAGCATCCTTCATGCATGTTCATCAATTGCTCTGCAACCTGTAACTAACAATTACATAAAATTTTAGTTTTAATTTGACCTATTTTCTTATAAGATTTTTTTTCTTTTTTTTTTTTTTGTTTTTTTTTTTTTTGGTGTTAAGGAAATGTCATAAAATTAATATACCTCTTCAATGCTACCATCTTCAATGTCTGTGTTGAAGGAAAATAACATAGTTTCATGAAGAAAATTTTCCAATTCTTCTACACTTAATGAACCTGAAATTGCAACAAAATGATACCCGTTAAAAGGAGAAAAACAGGGGAAAATGCACTAAAAATTCAATAAATTTTTATTTTATTGAAAAATTAGTAAATTAGTAAATTATATTATTAATTATTACATACTTCTTCCAATTCCTTTTGTATTCCCAATGATTATATTCTCAATTTGACTAGAAAAATAAAATTAATAACTAGAAATCTTTTATATATATAAATTAATTACGACGTACATATATTTTATATAAAGTGTTACGTAATAATAGATTAATCTGGATGTGTATTTTAAAGTATTAACTTTCTATAATTTGTTAAAATTCATTGTTACACATATATTGCTAATTTAAAAAAAAAAATTACGTCAATTAAAAATAGTATAAAAAATTCAAATAAACTGAAGAAGTAATAGACAAAAATAAATACCTTTAGATTGACAAAACCAAGAGAAGATATCAAAAACAAGTTGTTGGGACTTTTGGTTAGAATCATGGCCACCCCATTCATTTTGGATGGCCATTTGCAAGCCATTCCATTCAGAGAGGACCCTCGATATCCCTTGACAAAACTTAGACATTATGACTTCAGACTCCATATATGAATATGAGGATGATATCGATGTCGGCTTGTTTTTTCTCATCATACCATTTTCCCATTGCATCAATGTTTCCATTGCACGAAACGAATGTGAATATGAATATCAATACCAATATCAATATCAATATTTTCCGATGACTCCACTTTGTATACCGTGATCGTTCTCACTTTAGCACCTCCGGATCACCCTTACCTCCCACTAGAGCGAGGGGGGAGTTAAGGATGGTTGCGAGGAAACAAAAGAGAGATTAATTATCGGCGAAGTTGATATAAATCATAAAAATGAAATATATTGTTGTATGTAATCACTAGATCTTTAATTGCTGGTACACGTACGAGTACATAAAATTTGGTAGTTAGCTAGATTTGAGGATGTAATTTTATGGCATTACTTGTTTGGAATGATGGAGAGTAACACACGGGGTGAAGGGATTATATATAGTAGGTTTAAGCTTCACACATGGCCAGCTTAATTATTATTATTATTGTTATTATTTTTTTAGTCAATAATTATGAGTACTCCTAATATATCGTGCTAACATGCCATTTTTTTGTAGTTTGATTGGGTAACCTCTTATTTTTAGTGGATGAAAGAATATTAATTGGTCTTTTTTGTCAATATGTAGCACCTGGAAGGCTGGATTGGTCAGCTTGTGGTGGATACTAGCAAAAATGATGACTGATCAAAGTAGTGAGTTGTGAAGTATAATAATAATATGAGTACATATTTGAAAAATGGCAACCGGCCAAGAAGACTATGTACCCTACGTCATGTGAACTTCCAGCTACGGGCATGTGAGGCCGTGAGGGGTTCACTTAAAATTATAGTGCATTTGAGTAATTCTTATGTTTCAGAAATTTACATACTTCCTTCATGTTTTAATAAGTGTTACGGTTACCAAATGTGATCATGTTCTAAAAGTGTTATACTTTTTTTTTGGCAAATAGTTACATTTTAATATTATATCTCTCTTTTTTTATGGTCCTCACTCAAACCCATTACTACTTTTTTTATTACTGTATCTATTTCCTATCTATTGAAGTATATGCTGAAGCTGCTAGTCATGACCAACTGATAACAGCCTTAGTTGCCTGTTTACTGCATACAGCTGAGTTGGATAATGAGCCATGTCAGCAATCTGAGACTCAAGCATTCCTGCCAAGTCATCAATCCCCGTGCCAAGTTACAAGTCAACAGAAGGCATAACAAATTCTGTTATGCATCATAACATAATTGATTCTTTCCTGTAACTAACTTTTAGTTGGTTGTTATGAGGTTGTTACAAGCTTGTAATATTCTAAAAAGTTGTATTGTTCTAGTATAAATACGCTTGAGTTCAGTTGATGTTAGATTGATTGATTCAATTCCATTTTCTCTGATATCAATAAATTCGATTTTCTCTTCTTCTCTAAATTCTTCTTACTATTTTTTGTTCTAAGTTCTTCAAATTTTAAGAACTTTATCATGGTATCAAATTTTAAGAACTTTATCATGGTATCATGATTTTAGTTTAATCTGATTTCTACTCATAAATTGTGTAAAGATTTATCTTGTGACATAGTTTTCACACATGATAAATGCATGATTCAGGATCATTCTCAGAGAAGTACAGTGGTTCTTGGTAGGCTTGAATCAGGCTTGTATGCAGTTTTTGACCAAGTTGGTGTTGAGAATAAGGAGTCCTGTTTGAAGAATGATCATGAAGCTCTTGTGTCAATAAGTGAAGATGTTAAGCTCTGGCACTTGAGATTAAGGCATTTACCATTTGACAAATTACATTTTGTTAATAAAGCTTTGCCAAAAATAGGAAAGAATTGTGAAGTGTTTTGTCAAGTCTGTCCTACAGCAAAGCAAACTAGGAAATCTTTTCCCACTAGTTATTCTAAGACTAGTGAATGTTTTGAGTTGATACATGTTGATGTATGGGGACCTTATACGGTGAAAACTCATGACAATTGTAGTTATTTTCTTACAATAGTTGATGATTTTTCAAGAAATACTTGGACATTTATGATAAGAGGAATAAAAGTGATTCAGTTGATATTCTGTCCAATTTTATGATATTTGTTGATACTCAATACAATCTGAAAGTGAAGTGTATAAGGACAGATAATGTAAAGAGTTGTGTGAAGGAAGAATTTTGAGTGTTTAACAAGGAATTGAGATTAAACACCAAAAGAGTTGTGCTGACACACTTCAACAAAATGGGACTGTTGAGAGAAAACACAAGCACTTACTTGAGACTGCTAGAGCACTTTATTTTCAGTCTAGATTACCTGTTAGATTTTGGGGTGAGTGCTTATTAACAACTTCTTACTTAATCAATAGAATGCCTTTAAAATCTACTGATTTTGAGACTCCTTATGAAAAGGTGAACAAAGTCAAGGTGGATTTGAGTCATCTAAGAGTGTTTGGGTGTCTTGGTTATGTGTCAACACTCAAGGCTAACAAGTCGAAGTTTGATTTTAAAGTTGTTCCATGTGTTTTGATTGGTTAACCACCAAATCAAAAGGCATACAGAATGCTTAATCTTGAAACCTCTCAAATCATTGTTTCCAAGGATGTTACCTTTCATGAGAAACACCTTTCTTTTCACCTTTCTTCAACCAAACACAAACCTGAACCCATTTTTCTACCCTCAAACACTATCTTTGACTTAGAGACAACATTTGAATATCCAGATGTTTTCTCTTTTTTAGAACCTGCACCTAAGCATTTACACACTGATTCTGAATTTGAATCTGAAACCTACTGAAACCTCAAACACTGAAACCACAAACACTACCCTTATTCTCAATCCTGAACCTGACCTTAACTTTAATACCATTGAACAATCCACAAGACCTCATGTTGCCCCTAGTTGGATGAAAGATTATGTGTGTCCTGTTCTCCCAGAACAACATTGGCGCAATGTTGTTCAATATGATCAATTACCTGGTACTCATAAGGCTTTAGTGAATGAAATGGTAAAGGTGGTATAGCCTGTCAGCTATCTAGATGCTTCACAAGATTAGAGATGGGTTAAAGCAATGCATAAAGAAATAGATGCCTTACAGCAAATCACACATGGGGGCTCACTGATCTTCCTAAAGGAGGAAAAAAAAAGTTAATTAGCTGCAAATGGGTGTTCAAAGTGAAATTAAAAAAGGATGGAACCATTGAGAGATTCAAAGCACAGCTAGTAGCTAAGGGTTTCACTCGAAATATGGGGTTGCTTATCAAGAAACCTTTTCGCCTGTTGTAAAGTTACCAACTGTGAGGTGCTTGATTTGTATAGCAGTGAATAATTAGTGGGTTATACATCAGCTCGACATTAATAATGCTTTCATGGAGATTTGACTGAAGAAGTATATATGAAGGTACCTGAAGGGGTTTCTAATCCTGATAATAAGGTCAGCATACTCAAAAATAATCCTGATAATAAGGTCAGCATACTCAAAAAATCACTTTATGGTTTAAAACAAGCTAGCAGACAGTGGTTTGCTAAGCTCACTGCTGAGCTAATTTCTATGGGATATTCTCAATCCAGGAATGACTATTCTCTTTTTCTCAAGGATACTCAGAGTTCCAAGACCATTGTTGCAGTCTATGTTGATGATATTCTTATCACTAGTCTAGATGATGTGGAAGTTCAGTCACTCAAAAACACTCTTCATAATAAGTTCAGTATTAATAAGGAAAAATACACTTTAATAATCCCAACTTTGCCCAATATACTTTAAATAATCCCAAATTTCGATTATTCTGCAATAATCCCAACTTTTACCTGTGCTTTATTTCTTCAATCCCAACTACCGGTAACCTGAAGAAAGAGTTAATTTTATTTTTTTAAAAATAGAACTTCCACGTGTCGCATGTATATTTGTTCAAAAAAGAAAAAAAATTAAATTTAATAAATAAAAAATAAATTAATAACAAAAAAAAAAAAAAAAAAAAAAAAAAAACCAAAAAATCAAACCCTAAGCCAATACACAGCCATGACCACCACCGGTGGCCAGAACCTTCCCAACTCAGCCCCGATTTTCGGCTTTCGGCACCTACTACCTCCCTTCCTTTCCTTTCCCCCTTCCCCTCCCTTCTCCCTACCCCAACCTAGCCCCGAAACCCCCTTAATCTCCCCATAACCCCCCCTATTCGAAACCGGCCCGGTGAAGGGTTGACGACGGCTCAGTTATTATAGACACCTAAAAATGTCTCCCCAAAACCAAACCAGATGATGAACAACCTTTCACCGCCACTATTGGTCGGGTTAAGTATTTAATCTTGGGAGTGCTTAAAACCCACATTCAGTCAAACATAGCCTGCAAATCAGTCAACAGTTCAGTCGAAATGTTTATTTAAACTCAGTCCAACTCACATTTTAGCCCAAACCCTTTTTAATTCATTTCGTGTTATATATATTAATTAAGCCTGATTAAAAAATTTTGTAACTCTGAAACGGCGCCTAATTTATCACGTGCTTAATGCAAATTTTTTAAAGATAATAATGAACCTAGACGATTTTCCAGAAAACCAAAATGCCGCGACACGGCAATTTCCGCCGCGCCAAGGCAACATTTGCCTCGTCATGGCAAATTCTGCCACGTCACGGCAATTCTGCCGTGACACAGCAATTTTTAGGTTTAATTCTTTCGCGACGCTTCAATTCTAGGGTTCCGTGCTTCACCCCTCATATCTTCTTTACAAATATGAGGCTGATTTCTCAGTTTCGGGGCACCAAACAATTCTCTCTTTCCCTCTTATAGACCAAAATAATTCTCTCTTTCCCTCTTATACACCAAATCATTCTCTCTTTCTCTCTTATGCTCTAGCCTAAACACTAGCCTTCCCTATTCTTCATTAATACATCCCCTAAGCACTCCCCGGAGTCCATACAACACTCAAAGTTCCATACTTAAACCAAAGCGTGAAAGGTAGAACCGATTGAGGGTTTGGACCAAATCAACTCTACTTTTATTTAATTTAATTATTTCAATTTTGATTTATTATTCTTTGAAGTTACTAACAATTTATTCATGATGTAGCAATTTAAAGAAGCGCGCGGAACGTGAGTAATTAATTAATTAATTTAATTACTCATTTTATTTTATATTGCTAGTATCATGATTAGGGTTATTATGCTTTGATTTGACTAACGTTATTATGGTTAAATTGCTTCCAATATTATTGTTTATTCTATTGTTATTGTTGATCACCATATTCAATGTTTAAAGGGAATATGTAATAGAATATCACAACTAATAAGATAATTTGGACAACCGGTTTAGGTTCCTTTTTAATGTTGTTGTTTAATCAAGTGATCACAATATTTTAGAATTATATGTTGCATTAACATTCAACCAATTTAGCCTAATACTAGTTTGGAGCAAATTGAATCTTTTTTTGTATTCCTTTGAGATCGCAGGAATCACTTTTCACAATAAGAATCGAGTAAAGGCCAATACGGGCGAACGTGACTCCATGACTAACTTCGTACCATCATCCATGATCCTCCTTTCGTGGTTCCGAACCATATGGAGTTAGTAATCTCATGGATTATGATTGGGGTGTAACCTTCACGGGTCAATCGTTGTTGCCTATCGTTGTCCCTTTTCGTGGTTGCCTTTTAATGATCCGTGAATGGTTTACAAGTTCCTAACTTGTTGGCGGCTTCCTACTTTGATTTGTCCCTAATCGTATGTCAATTCTCACTTCCTA